TCTTTGGACCAGAAGACTCCATGGTAGAGTTTTCATTTTGCAAATCCATGTTCTTCTCTTTCGTTTTTCCCCACATCACAGCATAAAACCCAACAGTAATTATAACAGATCGAACCACACTGCAACAAAAAATAAACCAGACCATTTTTCTCCCTTTATAATGAAAAACTTGCTACATTTATGAAACAATAAGAAATTGTCTTAGCTAAGGTATAAATGTGAATCACCATGAGCTAAATTATATTTTTAAGACAAGGTTGTTTATGTGTGTTCTCATGTCTTTAAGTAAAGTTGTTTTTTAAGTGTCCTCTGAATGTGCATATCACTGTCTGTTATTGAAGTTGTAACAAACTTGGATAAGTTGCCAGATATGGTTCATAGAGACATGTTCTGAGCTAGCTTCTAAGTTCTGAGCAGAATAAACATACCTGCCAAGATGAAGGATTTCCCCAAGAAATGTGACTGTCATAATTACTGCAATGGTGATTCCCAAGGGTTTGAACATGACTACATATACAGGGCCCTTCTTGCGCAAGCACCATGTATGAATGGCAATCCGGAACAAACTCCCAAGTATTGCCTACGATAACACTTCCATATCAGCACATGGTATTTCCTTACTGGCAAAGTTTCCAACAGATTGAGAAAGAGAAAGACAAAACATGTTAGCACCATTTTGCTTCTTGTATTTTATCTCAATATAAATCTCCAACCCTCTCACTGAGATTTTCTTTCTGGTTGGCAATATGAAATTTGAAGGGGAACAAAGTTAGAAAGTTCGGTAATTAACCCACTGTTGCAAATGGATTCAGTTACAAAACTGTTTTTTGGTTGAAGTAGTTTAATCTAACATGTCAGCAATGATATAAAAAAGTTGACTAATCAGCAAATCAAAACCCCATCCAAGAGTCTACAGTTAGGTTTTGAGGTCATTCTCACCGTTGACACAATGGCTATGATTTCAACGCTTGATTTCAGTCTCCAGGCAGCTGGATTTCGTTCCAAAATGAGAGCGAAGACTGCAGCTTGGACAGTTATAAAGAAAGTGAAGAAGAATACGATTGTCATTTCATCAGGATAAGCCTTAACTGCAGCAGTCTGAAATTGTAGAATCAAATCAACTTTTAGACTTAATAATGTATCATAGGCACTCTGTTTAAAAATGGAAAGAATACTGTATTTTGACAATTCTCCCAGAAAAATTTTAAGTGCAAAACTATACCTTTTTATTCAAACACCTAAGTCCCCCAGTACCACAACAAAAAGGTCAGAGATGGAATTTTTATGCAGTCCAATCTGGTAATGGCTTGTGAGCTAAATTTAACAAGCCTGTGAGTAGAACATATATTACCTGGAAAATAGTCCATGTTGCAGATGACAAGCTAGTCAATAGAAGAAGAAACCCCCCAATAATCCACCTAGAATCCTTA